GATTTACCATAGTAGATATTGGCACCATTACCGGCTTGGCGCACTTGATCCAGGACGCGGAACAGCGCTGGCTTGTTAATAGTCGGATCGATTTACGGACGTTTAACGAAATATCTGTAACGATTTGGCAAATCGCTCAGCCAGTATTCGATCCCACGGGAAGCACAATGCTGTGCAGGGCCAAAACCGGTCTTTTTATCCTGTTCTCATGGTATGGGCGTGGGGCTGGGACACCTAGGAATTGATGGCATTCAACATATGGGACTTAGGGGCTTACGGCAAGAGAAGGGTGAGAAGGAGGGCTATGGCGTTGATATCACATAACGGGAAGCTCTTGGAGTTGTAACTCGGCGTAGATAGCATAATGTAGATAGATTCGGGAGTCATAAAATGGAAATACACTTGATCGAGATTTGACATTCACAGTGGGAATGGAGTGGTGGCAAATGGAAGGTTGTACGAGATACAGAGTCCTGACATCGGTAGGACCGAATTCTTAAACTAGAAGTGCGGCGTCAGGAGTTCCCAGTGAGGTGGAGGCTCCCGGGGGAGATGTGGACCGAGTCCAGACGCCAGAGGATCGGACGACGTGAACCAGACGGGGGGACGCCTGGTATCAAAACACGGTATCGCCGCCCTGAGACGAGCAGACACGCCGAATGCGTTACAACAGGACGGGGAAAGAAGGTGTGGATACGGGCCTCCGGAATAGAATGAAATGTGGGAGGTGAGTGGGGACGGCGTCAGGACGGCTGGACGTAGGAGGCGTCGGCGATGACGGGATAAACTGGTGGTTGAAATGTAGGACGCAGCGGACGCGGCTGGCCGTTGCAACGCAAGACCAGAGGCACAGGACGCAGGGGACGCAGGGGAAAAACACCTTGCGTCCGGACGCGGCGCCCGCGCGCCCGACGCAGTATTTATTTTCCCTGATGGTAGCAGTTTTTACAGATCTTACCCACACTGAAAATTTGCAGTATTTGTTAACAAAATGCCCAAGTGAAGCGATTTTTGCCAGAGAAAGCAGATAACCATTCTCCAAGTGTGCAATAATATTTTAAGATTTTCCTCTGATTTTTTAATATTTTTTTTTTAGATCAGGTATCATATTGAAGTTCTGGTAGAATTCAGTTAATATGATTGTTGGAGTAGATACTGACCTCCTGACCTCCGTATCTAACTAAAAAAAAGTATAGTATTGTAAAGTAAAATGAGAGTGAAGTAACTGTTTTTGTGTCTGCCAAGCTTACATGAAACAGCAAAGTAAGCTACTTTTTTTCAAGTTTTTCAACTTTGAATACCCCTACTGGGTTCAAAGTTGCTATTCTGTTGTTACAGGAATGTTTTCAAGTCTGCTAGTGCTTACCATTAAATATTAATTTATCCTACTCACATTTACTCTACTACATTTTTCAGTCTGTTACTAGGTACATTCCATCACTTGTTTCACTCAGCCAAATTTTCACTCTTCAATCATTACCTACTTTTTCCTACAACATTAAATAAAATTACAGAAACATAGGGCCTCTTCTCCTCTTGAGTATGATAGCTTTATCACTTAGGGCCTGTTTGGCAACGACCATTCTGTTCTGTTCGCCCATACAAATTGCCTCATGGTTCTGTTCGCGAACGGCCATTTTGTATGGGTGAACGGAACAGAACAGTCATTGCCAGACAGGCCCTTATGTTTTTCTTTGAAAATATTTCCCCTTATGATCAACCAGTTCAAGATCGCATTTGGCCTGTTTGGAGGACCTGCCTTGTCTCACTTTTCACCATACTAAGTGCACTCCATCAGATGGAAGCTCTCAGGTCTGTCGAGGAAACCGCCATGGTCAATCAGCCCAGTTCATCCGCAGAGCCTGACCAAATGTTGTATCTCTGGGTGTTGCGTGGGAGGCCGTGGAACCGTCTCGGCTTTCTTAGATTCACCTTTATCGTAACCGCTACCGTGCTCCTAGCCCCAATCCAATCCTGTTTCCTCGTTACGAGATTCTCCTTAACGCTCTTGCAGATTCACAAGATGTTGTTGGCTTGGCCCAGGAACAGGAATGTGGGGTTCATTTCTGGTAGGTCGGTATCTAGGTAAGTAAATTGTCTGCGATACCTCTAGTCAAATAGGTTTCCCAGTGGGTCCTCCTCTCAGACTTCTAAGGCAACAGTTCAGCCAATCCCTGCCCCTTGGGATGAGCGCCCGAAACGGCCCCTATTTTTGCCATTTGTACCTGATCATTTCTCATTCTGCGCACTGGAACTCTCTCGTTTTCGCCGGTATCAATATTTCGTATTCTGGTTTTCTTAACAATGTCTGCCTTGTTCATTATTTTCTTCTCTGGTCACCATATGCTCTTATATACACTGAAAACAATGAAGAATTCCTTCCAGTCTCTGAGCATGATCCAGGTGACCCCGCTTTTACCCCTGTTCTTCAAATTTCCTTAGACTTCTCCCAACTTCTTTTTACCCCGCTCCTGTCAACCAATCCTATGCCCTCCTATCCCCACATGCTACCAGTTTGCCTGCCTTCCAACCGTGCTCCCTGGTACATGAACGTTTTTGTAGAAGCTCCAGTACCCTCTTCCTCACTGACAAATACAAAACTCATAAGCATTACAAAGAAAACCAATTCTAGCTCCAGAGATATCTCCAATACCCCTCAATCATAGGGGCGATAATGATAGGACCATTACCCTGAGTACCGGTGATTTACGAAGCCTATATCCACCCATTGATAACGTGTCTCGAATTCGATGCACTCAAAGTCCAAGAATCACGGAGGACGTGCTAGGGCAGCAATAGATCGAAGCCCAAATTGATTGCCACTCCTCTGCACCAATAGTTGGTTAGTACAACCTCGTCTGCCTGACCAAAAAGAAAATGACTCTTTCAGATCGTCAACCACTCGTGGACTCACCTCCACCACAATGCCTTAGGCAGTTAGATAACCCGCAAACTTCGCGGTAACATGTCTCCCCATGAAGCCTCGGGAAAGATCGTCCCAACCTTGCCCCGGTGCCGAGTACACCCACGTCTCTATTCGATAATCGGGTGTCGAAACAGGCAGGAGGGAATTCCGCTGGAAAAAGCAATGATGTTCGGTGAGCATCCTTGCCCAGATGAACCCACCATGATAGTGGAGGCAAAGGCCCTCTAGCAGCGATAAAACCTTACCTCGACCGCCTTGTTGAGATTTGAGAATCTACTAACGGAAAAGTCGTCCGTAAAGGCCTCCTGATGATGGTAAGATATAGGCGTCCCAATGGATCGGGTTTCTTGCGTGACGATGGACTTTTCCTTTAGTTAACCAGGCTGGCATGATTGTTCATGCTAACCGGAAAATATCTTCCAACGGGGGGACCAGAGGCTCTCGGTCATGACTAGGATCTTTCCTCATGGTGCTCCTTTCTCTTGTAGCAAGGAGGTGGCAGAGGACTTCAGCGATCGTACCTCGGAAATCTACCCTGTCTTGCAGCACCCTAGCAGGCTACACGGGAAGCGGTCAACAATAAAGTAAAGAGTGGTAGAGGATTTAAAGTGGGAGTACGAAATCATATCCATCTGTTCTCCTAACCTCAAATTTAAACCGCAAATTTCTCTCTCCAGCCGCTTCGCCAGCTACCTGTTCGGTGGGGATATCAATAGACCCTCAGGGTTCCCCCCCCTCCCAGCCAAGAGCCCCTACGAGGCTCTTACCTACCCGAGCAGGCACTGGCGGTAAAGAAAACAAATCAAAAACTCAATAGGACCAATTCATTGTTGTAAATCGCGGGTACTCTGACTAAGGTCGATTGAGGGATATTAGAGACACCCACTCAGCTAGCATTGATTTCTTATTTGTAATGCTGATGAGTTTGTTATTTGTCGAGCGGGGTAGGAGGTTCTAGACCACCTTGGTATGAAGCCAGCGGGGGGGGTCAAGGAAATGATACTGCACGAGGAGATCATAGAAAGGATGATTGGTTATACAAAGCGGGGTAGGATAGAAGATGGAAGAAACACAAGGAGGTAGCTGAAAGAGGGGTAAGAGCGGGGATAGTATGATCATGATTGAAGGGCAAGCGGAATTTTCCTTCTATCGGTTGTGTATATAAAGGCATAAGGATACGGGAAGGAAATGAGAGATATAAGGGGCAGGGGACACGGGTAGCAAGCACGGCTACAGATATAAAGTACGAATATACGGAGACCGATAAAAGACGAAACCGAGATTGAGAAACGTTCTGCGTGTGAGATACGGACTATATTATACAAATTACAACATTCATATGTCTGATCGATAGAAACACTGTAGGACAAATAGCCCCCTTGAAAAACCCTTTTCAATTTGTTTTCCTATTCCACTGGCCCCCATCTATTCTGGACTATGTCAGACAACGGAACTCGGATAACATATGGGAATGAAAAACAATTATTGCTTCTTGTCGTATTCGGTAACCGTCAAGCCTGACCGCCTTCAGCCTACCACCCGGGATTATTATTGCTGTCCACAAACACGAAGATATTTTGATAAATGGTAACCCCAACCGTTGGTAAGACTCTTAGGGGCCATTAGAATGGCAGTCGCAGAGTGCAATCCCTCCTGCTGCAAGAGCAGTGGCAACACTATACTCGCTATGGTCCAGTAGAGGCCGGTCCAAAAGAGGTAGGATACCAATTCTTGGCTCCGCTACCGCAGTGCGAGGGTGTGGACAGAAGTGATGGAAAAACCGCTAATTTGGCCAACCGTAGTCATGGACTGTTTGAGGGCGGCCAATTAGGTTTCAGACCTGAAGTGAGGAAAAAAGTGATCGGAAAGCTAATCACGTGCGTTCCCATCACTTACCCTTACACCCTCGTACTCATACGTTGGGATCCTCCCCACTCAAAGCCCTCTGAAAAAAATAGCAGTCACTAGTGCCACACACTCAAGTACTCATCTGTGTGTATTACGGTTTCCAGAAAATAACCCATATCCTAGGAGGCCTTTACCAACTCTGACCCCGCCACCACCCCGCCGCCCCGCCAGCAACGATTCCAACGAAACCCTACCGCCCCTACTCGAAGCCCAAGCCAGGTGCTGCTAACAACTCCGGACATCTCTCCCCCTGACTGCTGTAAGCAGCCGTTCACCCCCGCCCATCGGCAGCCACAGCTCCTGCAACAGCCGAGCCCACCGACAAAAAACCCAACTACGATACGATCATGCCTTCAAAGAAAGAGCTCCAGATTGCATGCAGGGCTGCTGGCATTCAGCAACTTGGAACAGTTGCAGAGCTCACTGAGCGCCTCCGTACCTATCGCAACCATGAGCCAAGTTCGTCACCTGCTACGGAGGATTCAAGGTATGACGCCATACTGGGTACCCAGTCCGTGGTGGGTATCGAGGAAGAGATGAAGGTAACAGCTGAAGCTGCATTGGGGAAGGAGCTCAAAAAGAGTGAACTGGATATTTCGACGGCCGGGAGAGAAACATATGTTAGCAATCCCCGTGGTCGCGGACTTGCAGGGCTGCCTGAGCGGATTAGAATCCTTCAAGAGAGAGATGTTTTAAGCGACCAAATGATCGCGTTGCAGGATGGCAAGCTCGCTTCTCAGGACCGTGAGATTGCTGAGCTTAAGGACAATGTCGCGGAGCTGGAGCGCAGTGTCGTGACCTTGACACTCGCCGGGCAGGATTATAGACTTCTACGGGAGAGATTCATCAGTACTTTTGTCCACGACAAACTCGAGAATGCCACCCAGTCCGATCTTGAGACCATTAAGGAGGTCAATATCACGGTACATGGGGGGGACGCGGCCGTTGATGCCCTGCTGTATGATGGAATAGGCGGGAGACAAGATACTTACACATTCGAAGAGCTATACGGAATGCACCCATCGGACGTGAGAAATATCTGTAAGTAACCTTCCCTATCTTATCTCTCTCCAATCAAAACTCGTGAAATCCACTATTAGGTTATTAGCGGAAATTACGCTGCCATCCGAGGATGGCTTAGTTTAATCGGTTAACCGGATTCCAATTTGCAATTAACAAGAGCAAACCCGCCTCGTAGCCTCAGGTTATATACCCTGTCAGAAGAAGGGCTTACTGTTGACTGAAGAGAGTAGCTTCAATTACCGGGACCCTGGACTGGCAGAAATAGTGGATTTCACGAGTTTTCATGGAACATAAATATGAATGCTAACTTATCCAGCCCACCAAGAAACAATCGATATCTTGAACTTGCATGCGACTGTGAAAGCAAACAAGGACGGGACTGGAACTGAGGACTTCTACCAGAAATTCGGGCAGTTTGTGACCGAATTTAAAAGGTCAAACTTCAAGGTGACGTACTTGAGCGAGGACCACACAGATAGAACACAGATGGCATACTTGGCAGTACGCCAGTGCCCAACATATACCCCTAGCACGGAAGCGTATGTTATAACAAAAGGCATTCCACTCCCGAGATCATGCTAATACTATGAGCTGGAGACAGGTCGGTTTCTGGTTCTTGCTAGTTTTGTGAGGCGCTGAGGACAGGTTATTGGGCCAGACACCCAAGAGGAGAATAATGTTACTAGGATGAATGAATTGGTTGCTTACCGGTTTCTGGTAACTGTGTACAACATGCGGTTTATGTAAAACAACCTGTTTGCTCTCTGCTTGTGGGAGATATTCTCCCGGTACTCCTTTGAAAACTGTATGATACTTCTAGAGCAAATAGCAGACGGTCATCTAGGAGCTGATGCATTCTAGAACGATTCAGGTGGAATCCCCCTCTCAGATGCCATCGTGTGGGTACTTTTCACCGTTAGCGATAAGGAGTGGAGAGAAGGCAAGGCAGCGTTCACGGGCACCAGGACCGTCCACGACCACAGATTTAACACTCTTAATGCACTGGCCAATGTCCCTGTACTCAAAAACATACTAGGCTCCAAGGCTATTCACCGGTTCATGGTTCCTCTTACTTGCAGTGGCAACGGTCCTAAATGCGGCCAATTTTGCAAGTTGAAGAACCGACTGCCAAACCAAACTTCTTGCACCATAAACGAGCAACTTCCAAGCCATTAACATAGTTCTTACTGTGCACCCGCTCTCTGGTGCTCACCCAAGCTCCCTCCTCTACCTTCCCCTCTCCCGGGACCCGCATCTTCAACTCATTGTAATAACTCAACACCACAGTCAACACTGCAGCGCCAAGAACGGCAGCCTGTTTACGTTGCATATTCCTGGGAACCTTCCACAACATGTGTTCCTCGGCCGGGATGTACTCCTGATCGGCCCTATCAGCTGGAGTATACGTATTGCATCCATGCACCATAGTGGCGACTATGTTACTATGGTGCCATTCACTCAAAACGTACACCTTGCTCAATGCAACACGTAACACTCAACCCTGTATGAAGCTAGCACTATACCCTAAACCTTAGATGTTCTGCAAAATTTAACCTTCTTCCATAACAATGTCACATAATGGATGACATGTTAATCTCTATCTACACCAACCCCATAGGAATATCTCAAGCTACCTTTATTCCAACTCCATATCTGCTCTCCTGACACTGATCCTCCGATGAGACTTGTATTTTTTATGTGTCAGATTTTCATACTCTGCTGATATATAGACAACATGATTGTGGACTAGTAAAATTAATATATTATCAATTAGGTGACATTGGTATAAATGAAGGTTAAATTTTGCAGAACATATGAGGTTTGGGGTATAGTGCTAGCTTTATACAGGGTTGAGCGTTATGTGTTACATCGAGCAAGGGGTACGTTTTGAGTGAATAGCACCATAGGAGAATAGCAACCAGAAGTCCCCAGGCCGTTTCTTTTGATAATGGCAGCGAAGTCGAATCCGACGGAGGAACCGGGGCCACCGGCCAGTCCCTGTCTTTGGTTAGCGGGCTATGATGTGGAACAGGGAGAGATATCTTACATATTCGCTGATATTACTGGCGTTGATTATTAGTACAAGGAAATGGGTGTGAGGAGAAATACAGGCAAGAGGGTAACTCACTGGTCCAAGGGATTATATGCCGCCGCGACCCTCTTGAAAAGATACTTATGGTTCTGGAAGACTAAACTCTAAACCACTTTTCACACAAAAAAAGTGACGGTCTTGGCTGTCATGTTTTGTGTAACAGCTGAAAAAAATAAAAACAGAAATTACCCTCTCTTAATGGGATTTCAAGAGTCCTTAGGGTTTGGGTATAATCTTTATAATGTTATAAACCAACATGACACACTATATGGTAATTTCATGTCAGATTTGACTTTACCAGCCAGTCTTATATTATACAACTTATCAATAAAAAGAGGAGGTAAGAAATACAAGTAATTTAAATTACATAGAAATTCAATTACTGTATATTAAGTTCAGACTCTGCAATTCTACAGTGAGAAGAATATCTGGTATAGACATGCTTCTTAAAATCTTTGGATCTATAAATCATATTGCTCCAATATGCATCCATGATATGTAATGTTCTCTGATGATACTTCCAAATTAATGTATTTGGAACTTCAGCTAAGGCTTCTGGAACTTTATGTACATAGGCAGAAAAAGTCTATTCACAGTTTGCCCTAGTGTAGAGTTTTGTCCAACCCCAGAAGTACTTAATGAAGTTCAACTCACAGTGAAAGACTGGGTAAAACATTACCAGGTGGCCAGCTGCTTCCAAGGTTTCCGGCAGTTCACCTTCTGTCACAAACTGTGACTAAGCAAGGCAGATTTCACATAGATCGGAATTCCGAGCTATAGGTATGTTGGGATTTCACATGACACACACTAGTCCGCCATAGGTTATTATGTTTACCTGTTCATGACTCACAAGTTGTGAGTCACACGATGTTATGATTTTCACACATGACTCAAATTATGAGTCATGGGTTTCACTCAGGTGACACGAGTTGCGCCCCTGACTAGGTTATTATGTTTTGATTGATTTTGGGTACGTCGCGCAGCGACTCATAGGAGTCAGCTAAGGGGTTTCACATGACTCATAGTTATGAGTCACAAGGATCGCGTGACTCATAAGTATGAGTCACGCTAGGTGAAGAGCTACTATATAAAGGGTCACTAGGACCCCTAGTATTGGCTCTTCACACGTTCTTCTTGTTTATTTCCTACCTTTAAGATTTTATCAATAAAACCTACTTTTACGCTCGTTAAGATTTACCTTTAGAAATCCAAGAATTGTCTTTCCTCCCACGCGAGAAAACTATTCCTCGTCCCACAAACTACGCCTAAGTCTTAATCGAAGACTTAAGAAGATTAAGAGGGATAGGCGCGATAAGATAGAAGTCGAAGGGACTTGACTATCGCTATCGTATAAGACATAGGCCTAAGAACTATTACCTCGTTTAAGATAAGGATTGTTACCTGTCGCATCACTCGCACGACCGGTAGGATTCTCAATATTAGAACGTGTCTACAACGCGACACTTAACGATTATACAACGGATCCATTCAACGGAGATCGTGAGGGAGACATCGACGTCCAAGACGACAGTCTAGGATTAGGACGATTCGAAGAAGGATTAAGCGAAGCAAGTCGACACTCAGCAAGAGCAACCAGTCCGGTGACACCTGAACAAACTACCCCTCCGAACGAAGAAGACCCACCTGAGACACCAAGACCTGAGAGAATGTCAGGACCAGCACTACCACCAGGTCCGGGTCCGGCAGGACCAGCACCTCCTCAGATGATTCCACGGGATGAAGTGGAACAAATGATACGAGAAGCTATAAGAGGAGCTGGGCAACAACCCAAAGTTAAGACCCCACCACGATATAATGGAGAAAGAAGAGAGCTACGAGGATTCAGGGTCCAACTCTTGACCTACTTCGATGCCGTCGGATGGACACTGGGATACGACCAAGACAAAATAAGATACACCCTTACACTACTGGAGGGACAGGCACTAAAATGGATAACCCCCATTGTGGTTAGCAACGCTGCACCCTGGACGGACTGGGCTAGCTTCAAAGGAATATTCGAAGCCCAAGTCACAGACCTAGAATTGAGCCAATCGGCAAGGAACAAATTGGAAGATATTCACCAAGGAGCAAAAAATGTCAACGATTACTGGTACGAGTTCCGACTACTCCAGCACGACGCAGCTTGCGACGAGGCCTCTGCTATGAGGTGGTTCATGAAAGGCTTGAGAAAGACCTATCAAGATGCATGGAGATTTAGCGAAGAAAGATTTACTACAACTGAAGCGATGGCCCACTGGGCCATCCGGAAAGAAATCCAGTTCGGACAACTAGACTGGATTCAAAAGAGCCAGTCCAATGCAAGCCAAGGCAACAATACGAACACAAGAAGCCAAGGTGCACCCAGGAACCAGAATGGAACCTATCGAACCACCACGCAAGGAGGAGATGCCATGGACCTGGATGCAACTAGAAGGAGACCCTCACTCAACCTTTCAAGAGATGAGTACCTTCGACGACGAAACAACAATCTATGCCTAAGATGTGGCATAAAAGGACATATGATCAAGGATTGTAGACGACCAATCAATCCAACTCCAAATCAAGGAAGAAATCAGCAGAATACGAGGATAAACCCTAGGTTCCAACCACGCAGTAACCTAAGGGAAATCGAAATCGAAGAAGAACATGAAACAGTGGCAAAAGACGAAGGTTCCCAGCAATAGATGGTTTGAGGGACCCTCCGAAAGACAAAACCATCGCAACGACCAACTACTACACTCTTTTTAGCGCAAATACGGGAGATAACGACCATGATCATATCATGATCAAAACAAAGAGATATAACGACAAAAAACAAGAAGCCACGATACACGCAATGATCGACTTGGGAGCCTCGGAGGACTTCATCGACGAAGAAGTCTGCAAGAGACATCAGCTAAGAACCAAAAAAGCAAAAAAGGAAAGACAGAGTTACCTCGCGGATGGAACACCCAGCACCATGGGACCTATAACCCATACCACACAAGTACCTATGGAAATTGGAAACCATAGGGAAGTGGCTATCTTCCAAGTGGCAAATCTACAACACCATGAGATAATTCTTGGAATGCCATGGTTAAGACAGCATAATCCCAGCCTAAATTGGGAAGAAGGAAAGGTTACGTTTACCAGCGAACGATGTACGACATGGTGTCTCAACAGTTCGGTTGTAGTATTTGCCACTCCAGAAGAAGAAGCAAATCAAAGGAACCTAGACGCAAAATACAGTCAGATTCAAACAAAGGATCAAAAGATCAAAGTTCAAAGATTAAGCCATGAGGCCAAGATACCCACAAGAGGATCCGAAAAGGCGGCAGGACATGACTTGTACGCCAATGAAGAAGTCACGATACCCGCCAGAGGGCAGGTAATCATTCCCACGGGAATAGCCATAGAGCTACCTCAAGGCCCCTATGGGGGCATAGCACCACGCAGCAGTCTCGCAGTCAGACATCGACTCACTACCAACGCAGGAGTAATAGACGCCGACTACACAGGTGAATTGAAAGCTGTTATAGTCAACCAAGGGAACCAGGACCATAAGGTGGAAAAAGGCGACAAGATTGCACAGCTGATCATCGAAAAAATCAACGAACAAGAATTTCAAGAGGTAACGAGCCTAAGAGAAACCACCAGAGGAACCAAAGGGTTCGGAAGCACGGACAACCAAGGTCCAAGCAAGAAGAAACAACCAAAGGTCGAAATCAATCGGAT